GACGAAAGAGAGGGAGGCCTTCAACGAGATGGATTGACACGGTGGCTGCGATGATGGGCTCAAGTATAGCAGGGATTGTGGGGCTGGTGCAGGATCGGGTAGGGTTTCGTTCTGCTGTGCATGGGGTCGCTATGAGTTGGAAATGACTCGACGGCACTTAACAACAACAACATCACTATGGAAGTAGATTGCCCAACCTTCCTTCTGAGGAGTGGTTGGTGGGTTGGAGCCACCAGCCTTCTGGTTAGCAGTCAAGTGCCTTAGGCACTATGCTAGCAGAGCTTCCAGTTTAATATAATACATAGCTAATAAATATGCTTATTGGAGAAAACTTGGAAAGCAGAAAATATAAAGAAGAAAATAGCCATAATGTCATCTTGCAACGATTTTATTTTAGATTATTTTTAAACTACATAATAATATACTAGGACCAGGTAATGTTTCATTCTGTTGTACACAGGGTTGCTATGAGTCGGCACCAACTGGATGGCACCTAACAAGGACAAATTGACACACTGTATATACACTGTATATCTGGCCATACAAATACTCATTCCTAGAAAAATTTTATATATTTATAGAAAATAAATATCTAGCTGGGAAATAAGCCAATAATATTAACAGTGGCAAGCTTCAGAGAAGTGGGATTATATGTAATTTTTCATGTGTTTTTTTCATTAATCGGTACCATCTAATTTTTCTCCTATGATTATATATTATTTCATATCATTTAAAAATGTTATTTTAAAATTTAGTGCACAGAACTTGGGGCTTTCAAGTCAGAGTCGTAAGACTGTCACATCTTTGGATTGTGATAGCTGGGCCTGCCTGAGCCCTGAGCCCTGGGCCTCACGTGGGGTTAGAGGGTTGTCATGTGGAGACCGCAGCAGGACATAAGGCTTCCCTGACCACTTTTAGGATGGGAGTGAGTTAGAGAGAGGGCAAGGTGTCTGCTGCACTGTTGGCAATAGCAAAGACTGGGATTAAGACCCTTTTCCCAGTGGCTCTGTAAAATGCCACAGGCTCTTGGAATTGAGTCTCTAAACCTGAGTGGGGCCTGGAGCCCTTCCTGTGGTCTTAGTGATAAGGTGTCTTAGAGAATGCTTTGCTCCTCCTCTCACTGTTTGTGTAGTTTCCATGCTCCTTTGCTTGGACTGTTGCAGTGGCCTGTGAACAAGCCTGTCATCCTCCCCAAACCCAGTCCTCAGTCCACATCACCCCGTGGAGATTCCCTCCAATACAGACCCATCTGAATATGCCACTGCTTCTCAGTTGGCTTCCCAGTGTCTGCAGGACCAAGTCCAAACCCCTCAGCTCAGCCTTCAGCCCACAAACCAGGGCTGCTCACCTCCCTGTCCCATCACCCTGACCCCCCATCCCATCATCCTGTCCAGCTCAGGCACACTGCTCTCCCCAAGACCTTTGCACATGCAATTCCCTTGGCCTAAAAGCTCTCTTGCCCTTCTCGGTCTGGTGGGCTCCTACTTTTCTTTCTATCTCATCTGATGGGGAGGTCCATGCCCTCTGAGAAGCCTCCCATGTTTGCCCCAATCCACACAAAGTATGGGTCAGCACACCTGTCGTCCTGTCTGCCTCATGAGCTCCTCAAGGACATGTGACTTAGTCACCTTTTTCTTCTTGGTACTTGGCACTTGGGGGTGAGATGGGCCTTAGGTGTCTGGTGAATGAGTGAATGAAGTCTGGCCAGCAGCCTTGCAGACATCAGGCTCAAAGAGCAGTGTAGGCGGTGGTATGGCTCTAATAGCCACTACCCACAAGGCCACCAAAGAGCCCACAACTGTCTCCAGCAGCCAGCACGGGCAGAAAGGGAGGCTGGCTCCAGAGCTGGCTCTGGGGCTGCTCTAGTCCCTTCCAATGAGGGCTTCCTCCAGGCTGGGCTCAGGGCAGCCTCTCTATGGGTGAACATAAATATATAAAACAAACAACGTGCTCTTAGCTGCAAAACTAAAAATAGGAAGCTCGGAATCCGGCTCCCCAGACCCCTCTAACCGCGGGACCACACAGGTGTGGATACGGATGTTGGGGGGATGCGGCCCCTCAGCCCCTCCTCTCCCCAAGCCCTCCTGGGGAGAAAAGAGGGGATTCTGGTTTTCCGCCAGGAACAGTTCATTCTTTCACTCTGGCTCCCCCCACCCCCGGCCTGTTTGACAGCTCATTTCATTTACGACCCCAAAATGAACTGACCCACTGAGGTGCACTCCTTGCTCACATGGAAAGCCACAGGCTGCCACCCGACTGGGCTGGGAGTCCTGAGTGACTGTGGTCATGGGGGTGAGGTGCAGCCTGGTCATCAGGGTTGAGGAGGGATCCGGGCTGAGGAGGAAGGCCAGTCTGGTTTTGTATCAGCCCTACCATCCTGACAAGCCCTCTGGCAGCCTGCACTGCCCCAGCCCTTCACACCACTGTCTCCTCTTAGATGCAGGTGTTTATCTCCTGCCTGTAAGACTCAGTAGGATGTCCATTTCTTAGAATAAAAGCTAAAGCCACCCCATGGCCAGAGGCCTAGCAGTCTCAGGGCTGCCAGCCCGGCTGGTCAGGCAGGTGTCTGGCCCACAGCCCTCAGGAGGTACCAAGCACAGTGCTCAGAAGTCCCCAAGGCCTGGGTTCCTCTCTCAGCCTATTACCAGGCCAGCTACAGGTGAGGGGTGCAACCACAGGGCAGCTGATTTGGGCGCTGCCCTGTGGTTGCACCCCTCACCTGTAGCTGGACTTCTGAGTCCAAACCCACAAAAATCAAACCCATTGCCATCAAGTTGATTCCAACTCACAGTGACCTGTAGGACAGAGTAGAACTTCCCCACAGGGTTTCCAAGGCTGTAAATCTTTACGGAAGCAGGCTGCCATATCTTTTGCCTGTGGAGTGACTGGTGGGTTCAAACTGCTTTCTGTTAGCAGCTGAGCGCTTTCAACCACTGCACCACTAGGGCTCCTTGAGTCCAAGGGCTCAGAAACTCTGGCCTTTTCACCCTGGACAGGCTACTCCATGTCTTAAGCCCAAAGAGGGGCAGGGATGGACCCAGATTCCAAGAGGCTGGGGTCACTGTTTTGGGGCAGTTGACCCTTCCTTCAAGCCAACAAATCTTAGTCCCAAAGCAGAGTCTTTAGAGATTACAGGCCCTGTGATTCTACCATACACCTGCACACAGTAGGTGCTCACTCAGTATTTATTAAATAAAAGGGAGGCTCAGAGAGGGACAAGGACTTCCCAGGGTCACACAGCTTAAGAAGGAAAACAAACAAACAAAACCCTTTCTCCACTCCATTTCCCAGACCCTTTGGGGGATGACCCTCCTGTGTTAGGAAGTTCTTCCTAATACTTAACCTGTATTCCTTTGGCTGCAATTAAGGCAGCCCTTTTCACCCTTCTTGGTATGGGGTGGCACGGGAGTGTTCCTCCTTCATCTGCAGCCCAGCCATGCCCACCCTTGCTGCCACCTTCAGGTCACTTCCCCCAACCTTCAACCACTATGTGAACCTCGGTAGCCCCCGGGCTTCTCTGGGCCTCAGTTTTCCCCTTTGGGAGTTGGGTACGCTAGACTCTATGCCTGCTGGGATGGAGGTGACAGTGGTTTGAGTCAGGAGCTCTGGAGGTCATAGTTCCTTTTCCATCAGGTAGTGGCCCAATGTGTGGCTGGCGAACAGGATCATGAACTACTGCCCTCCCCCATAATCACTTTCATTCCTTACAAAGTGACCCCAAATGAAGACATAAGCCAAATCAAAGTGGGGTGCTGACTGTGCACACGCTGCTTTAGCATCAGCCCTGCCCATCTCGCAGTGCTGCCCCTGGAGCCTACCAAGAGAGGAATCCCACAGCCACGGCCGGCATGGTGGGAAGCGGGGGTACTGGGACAGTGGGCATCAGGGTTTAGGCTGGGGAAATGGGAGCTCCCTGTTTGGTGTTGTGTTTTAGCAGATCAACCCAACTGAATGGGGCAGAGTTTTGGGGTCAGCTTTTGAAATAAGTGGGTGTCAGCAGAAAATACATTCCGTTTTCATGAAAATTCCTCTCCACAAGTTCCCCCTGAATAGGCCCAGTGGGCCAGAGCTGGGCTGGGTGTGGGGGTCCAGTGTGGGCCCAGCCTCCTTACTGGCCAAGGTTGGGAGACTGCCAAGCCAGTGCCCACACCGTCATACCCACAGTCTCCATTATGCTGTCATCCAAGCTCAGCCACGACCACCACCGTGGGAGGGGTGGAGCCAGGAGTGCCCCCCTTGGCATCTCAGTCCCCTCATCTGCAGAGTAAGTGAGCTGAAGCAGCTGCTTGCTTTGTGGGCTGGATTGCTGCTAACTTGTCACTGTCGCAGCAGACACAGGGGGATGGGAGATTTCTCTCCAAGGCTGTTTTATGTTCTATTATCTACCTCTGCCCCCTCCCCAAACCTGAGGCACAAGCTGGAATAGGGGCACAGCTTCTTGTTTTCTTGGACAAAGTCATAGGACACTTGCAAGGGGAGGAGGGTCTGCTGGCACTTGGAAGACCTGTCTGGTGTCCCTCTGGGGGTCCAGCCACACCAGGAGGAGCCTCTCGGAGCAGGGTGGTCTTGGGGGTCCTTCTGACGGTGCTGCATGTAGGGAGGCCAAGGCGCTGAGGGTTTCTTGAATAGTCCCGTCCCCACTCCAGGCCCTGCCCTGATAAATGGCAGGTGGGGGTGGGGTGGGTGGGGGAGACAGTGACGGAGTCTCCACCTTCCCCAACTCCTTATGCACACAACCTAGAAACCTGGCCTTGGGATCCTTCAACACATCTCAGAGTTATATTATTGTAACAAATCAGTCAAAATTCCATATTACAGTTAAATAGTACAGAAGACAGACAGTTTACTGTACAAGCGAGTTGTGCATTAAAAACAAACACACCAAGCAAATTATAGTGCAAAGCAGTTTCCACCCCTCCCCGCCCCACCCCCTTCCCAGCTTTGGGTTGGGATCCTGGCAGATATGAGAGTAGCAGGTATTACCCCAGCATGACAATATGTCACAAAGGATCTGTACCCGGCACCAACAGGCTTACAGTATTATTTTATCAAAACCCCTTTGTTTCCTTGTGCTTTCTAAATCAGTGTGTTTGCCTAGTATAACTCTAAAGCAGCCTTGTAAATGAGGGCCCACCTTACAGCCCGGCTGTTGGTACCCACTATGGGCTTAGAAATGGACTCAGCATGGCTGCTGTCATTTTTTAGCCTGGGGAGAGGGGTGCAGAGAGGGGTCAGTTTATTTCTTGTCCCTATCCCCACCAGGGTTTGGCTATCAGGCAGGGGTAGTAAGTAATCTGTGGCAGGGCTACAAAGTGCTGGGCACTGGGGACCTGCAATGCCTCCCATGCTGGCCCAGGGCCAGTCGACAACCACAGAGCGGGAGTGAAGAAGCTTCAAGGGCAATGACTTTGCAGCTGCTTCCTGAGAAGGGGTGCAGAGGTCCCCTGGGTGCAGGGACTCTGCAGGACACCCTCAGTAACTAATGTGAAGAGATGGAGACTGCTTTTTCCAGTGAGGGCAGGATAAAAGAAACTGCAGCAGGAAAGGTTTGAGTAAGACTGTAGGAAGGTCTCCCTAACTCGCAGAGAAACCTTTCCTCCCTGGTGTACCTGGCTGTTGTTCCAGGTTGGGGCTGGTATGGCAGGCCAGGAGCCAGTGCAGAGACAACCACCACTAAGAAGCATTTTATAGGAGAGATTCCCACATACACAGAGGATGTGGCTGAAACAATTATTAAAATCCACACGCTGGCCAGCCCTTATTCTCATCCTTTACCACTGAAGCCTTTCTGCAATTAAAGAACTCAAACAGGGGAATCCATGTAACCTAGGCACAGGAGAAGGCTTGTATTCCTACCTGCAAAATGAAGGGGTGATCCTTCCCCTCTAAGCACAGGGGGGCTGAGCCAAGGCTGTGCGCCCTTTATAGCACTCCTGTTCTGCCATCATGCAGCCACGGTGCCCCAGCTCACATGTCCCACCCACCCCTGCTGGAACACTCACACTTCCCTTCAGATAAATGCTCAAGAGCCACAGAGGTTCCATTCTGGCATCTTCCCAATGTCTCCCTCAGGCCTCTCCTGGCTCAGGCCTCAGCAGAAGCTGTTGGGTGGCTACTGACCTCTTGAGGACTCTAACAGCCTCAACCCTCTCAGAAGACATCAGAGCCGGGTGGTGGGTAGGTATCGCTCACTGGTACAAAACCTCATGTTTGAAAATGTTTTGACTGCAGCTTCTTTTTCTGAAATCAGTTTTAGAAACCGGTTTTGGTTTAAGGCTGTCTGCTTTTGGAGCACAGTTGGTTAAAGATGGAGAGGTGTGTGTCAGGGGTTGGGAGATTTGGTTGGGCCTTCTCAGGCAGGCTGGGGCCTGGGGGTGGAACACAGCTTAGCTGGACATGGGTGGCACAGGGATGCTGACCCAGTGTGCCCCTCACCCATTGTGAACAAGCTTTCCACCACTGTGCTTGCTCCAGAAATGGAAATTCTGCGACCAGCCTAGGAGGAAGGGGGACCCCAGTCCCCAACCAAGTAACAGAAGCCTTGGGCTGGTAAAGTGCATGGAAGGGCCCAGTCTGCAGGTGCTTCCCCTGGTTTTAGGGAGCTGCTGCCACAGGCAGATCAACATTGGGGCCTGAGACCCACAGGCAGCTGAAATGGGGGCAGGGGGGCTTTTTAGCTGCTAGGAATTATGAGGAAGCAGGGCTAGGGGAATGGCTTGGGTGAGCTCTAATCCCATCTCTGCCAGCAATTTCCTGGGTCCTCCAGATGGGTCCCTGCCCCATCTGCACAACAAGGGGAACCCCTCTGAGGGGTCGGGGCTTTCCAGTTCTGACACCATTTGTGTAAATACAGGGACAGGCCTGGGTCTACAAAGGGCAGGGTCTGAGGACAACGGAGGGGTGAGGAGGCCTGTGGACAAGAGGCCCAGACCTGGGGCCAATGCTGCCTGTCCTTGGAACAGAGATGGTTCCTGTCCCGGGAGACCTGGGTCCCATGACAGCCCTAGGCTCAGTGGGGACAGTAAGGCCATTCTGGGGAAAATGGCAGGGGAAGGGTACTTTTCCCACAGCAATGTGGGGTGAGATGACTAGGAGCTGGGCTGGAGCAGTGTCCTGGGGGAGGTCCTCATCCTCTCTGCACAAAGATGTGGCTGGACTAGGCACTCTCAGAGCCATGTGCCAGCTCTGGCCCCTAGGACCCATAGGCCCCAGGACCACCACCAGTCTGAAGGCTAAATCCTATTCCTGCCCAGGGCCTCGGACAGGCAAGTCACTTGTTGGAAAGGTTCTCGGGTCTCCTGCCTCTGGCGGGAGAAGTCCAAGCTGACCCGAGCAGTCAGTAGGGCCGCCACACAGCCTCGTCCATGCGGCCTGGTGTGCTCAGGGCCGTGGGCGAGTTGCTGTGGCTGCCATCGGCCTCCACGCCGTCACTCTGGCCTCCTAGGCTGGGGTTCATGAGGTTGCCAGCGGCAACAGAGGTTGCACTGCTGGTGCAGGAGGCAAGCATGCGGGTGGGTGAGCGGTCGCCCCCGCCGCTGCTGGCCACCATGGAGAACTGGTAGGAGCCTGAGGACGCGCCATAGTAGAGGTGGTAGGGAGACGGGTTGGCCTGGAATGGCCCGCTCTGGTTCTGCGTGGCACCAGGGTAGGGCGGTGGGAGGTAGGTGTGGTGGAAGCGGCTGGTGGCCGGCATGCCTGCTACTCCCAGGCTGCTGATGTTGGTGCCCGAGGGTGTGGCGCTGTAGGGAAAGGCGGCAGACATGGCCCCCGGGTAGTGCATCCTTGGGTCTGGGAAGCGGCTCTCCGCAAGCGGCAGGGCTGAGAAGGAGCGGTCAAACTGGCGGGGGTCAGAGAAAGGGTTCAGGTCTGGAGTGCCTGTAGGCAGAAAAGAGGGGGTCATTTGTTGCCTGAGGGGTTCTGGTTCAAAAAGCCTGTTTTGGTGATCCCGGTTCCAGATTGGGCTCTCCATTTACTATCCTAGGCTGTGCAGGGGGCTGGAGCCTGCAAGGACCCTTACTACAGACTGCCCTGAGGAGCAGGGGTCCTGGGGCAGAGACTGCCATGGCGGCCCCCCTCGGGCAGGGCTGTGCAGGAGGAGTGCTTTCTTCTCTCCGCTTTACATCTTCCTCCGCAGCCTGCCTAAGGGTGCAGAAGCGACCCCGACTGTGCTGTTAGGGGTTGAGGAGCTGGGAGCAGGGTTAGCCCAGACTTCCCAACAGGCATAGCCGGGCAGTTACCTCATCTCCCCACTCACTGTTATGAACTGTTAAGACCATGGGTGTGAAGAGGGTCTTCCAAGGCCTCATGAGATTGGGAGTTGGACTCTGCTTTTGCCGATGAGGAAACTGAGGCAGGGGGTAGGGTGGACATTGACTGTCTTTGTTGTATAGAAGGATTGGGTGGGCTCTCTGCTGTTGTACGTGAACACACTCCTTACCCCACCCTGGGCCGGAGCTGACCAGAGGCCAGATGATGACCAGATGCCACCCCTAGCAGCAAATGGAGATAGCAGGCAGAGGGGCTTGATGCTTTGGTTACAGAAAGACAATGTCCTGTCCCAGCTACCCTGAGAGTTTGGCTTCAGGATCAATAGTGTCCCAATTTCTGCTCCCTATTTTAGTAATTACAGATCTCCAAAACGTCAGCATTCAAAGGGCCTTCAGGACGGAGACTAACCCCCTTGGTGTAAAGATGAGAAAACTGGGGCCCACAGAGGGTGAGGCCCTTGCCCAGGGTCACACAGCACACTGGACCTGGAGCAAAATCCTTGGGTTCCCTGACACATACCTGCTAGGTAGTTGTCTCATCTTTGAGGCAGCACAGAATTACAGTTAACTGTGTGGCTTCTGGAGCCAGACTGTTGTTGTGTGCCATCAAGTCGATTTCAACTCAGCAACACTATAGGACAGAGTGGAACTGCCTGATAAGATTTCTTAGGCTTTTGAAACTTACGGAAGCAGATTACCAGGTCTTTCTCCCTCCAAGCCATTGGGTGGATTCGAACATTCTGGGTTCAAATCCTGGTTCTGCCACTCACTAGCTGTGTGTTTTGGGGCAAGCCACTAAACCTCTCTGGGCATCAGCTTCCCCATATAAAAAGCAAGGATAGCAACAGCTCTGAGGGATTAAGTTAGTGAATACATGTAAATTGCTTAGAAAGGAACTGGGCCCTGTGCAGGGTGTAGGGCTGCTGTTGCTGTGGCTGCACTGTCTCTTGCTCTGGACACCCAGGGAGACTGAGGCCCTGCCAAGATGAGCTCTGGCCTCCCTTGTTTCCTGGCCAAGGGGGTAACTCCAGGCAGCAGCAGGGGAGATGGCTGAGCCCCCAGAAGTGGCTCCAGGAGAAGTCTGTCCAGCCCCAACCCCCTCTGTCCTATCCACCAATGAGTAAGGGCCAGGAGAGGAACAAATTCTGCCCCTGGCCCAGCCCCCACTAGGCATTGCCTGCTGTGACTAAGGCTATGGGCACCCTCAGGCCTCTTGCTTCTCCAGCTCTCTGAGGTGCTGTGTGACCCTGTGTGACACTTGTAACTCCTCTGGGCTTTGGGATCCTCTCAACTTAGCTGGATCAATTTGGTCTTCCTGAGCTCAAGGTGGGGGGATGTAGAGACAAAGTCTGGGTGGCTGGGGCCTTCCGAATCATCTGGTGCCCTCCCTAATGGGTCCCCTGGCTGCTCATTGCTGCCATGAGACCTAGGGGGTCAGAGATGCCTGGCTCTCCACCCTCATCCAGGAACCCTGGGGGAGGGGGGAGAAGAGCCTGTACTCTAAGCATAGCTATGAGTGCTACCACCAGGTAGGAGCCCCATTCCCAGACAAAGGAAACCCAAAAAGGGACCCTAGGATGCAACTGGGGGCCTGTGGCCCAGGAAACAAGGCCCTGTGTAGTGTGGCCTGGGCCCAGTGCGTGGCCCTGAACTCACATGGGCTGCAGGGCTCAGGGCTGGGCCTGCTCAGACCTGCCACTATCCCCCCCGCTTGCCTCCTTCTGGAGGGTGTTGGAGAAGTACCTGCCCTTGGCAAACCCTCAGACCCTCCAGCAGCTTCCCCCAGGCTTCTGCTCTTCCCTCCCTGCCCAGGAGCCCTAGGAAACCCAAGCTGGCTGGGCCACTGTCGAATAGCCAATCCCAACACTGGAAGGAAATGTTTATTTTCTTCTCCAAATTGCCCCAGCTGCTGCATGGTGGCTGAATAAGCCCTTTGAGCTGTGAGAAGCCCCCATTGTGGGCGGCTGCAGCCTGGGGGCTGGAGGCTGAGGGATGGAGGGGCTGGGGCCTCCAGTGGCCAAAGCCAGGAGGTCAAAGGTATTAACAGGCCCCAAAGGGAGTGGTGGTGGGATTTGCTGAGGTGATCCGTAAGACGAAGCCTGAAAGTAGAGGCAATGTCCCACCACGACGGGGTGGCCAGGGAGACTAACTTCACAAGCCTAGCCCTGCCAATACACCCCACGTGGTAGCTCCCACTCTCTTCCCACTTCATAGACAAGAAAACCAAGGCTCAGAGAGGTGAAGGGACTGCCGTAAGATCAAATGTCCACAAAGTGCAGAGCCAGAATTCCTAGCCAGGCCCACCTGACTTCGAGGTTTACTCTCCTCCCCTGGGCCTGGCTGTCAAGGCCCTTTCCCCTCACCTAGAAGGGGATAGGCCTGGCTAGGGGGCTGGCTGGGTCAGAGGTTGTCCAAACTCCAGTGTTGTGGGTAGGTGAGGGAGGGGCTAGGGGCCCTCCCTTAGCTGTGGGGGAAGATCTGGGCCAGTCACTGCCCCCTACGGCCCAATCGCCTCTCCTCCCAGCCATAGTGGAGGCAGGGGCCCTGCCTGCTGCTCATTCGGGCTGGGGCCTTTGGGGTGCAGAGGGGTGGTAGGCCAGATTCCTAGGCCATGTCTACCCAGCTGTGGAAGGGCAAAGACAGAGCTTCCCTCCCACAACAAGGGGCTGGTAGATGACGGGAAGTCACTGTTCACACCCACCTGCTGGATTCTGGGGCTCCCTGAGTGGACCTCAATATCCAGTTGGGCCCTGACTCTGTCAGTGTCAGAGAAAGGCCTGGAGTCTGGCTACTGGACATTGACAAATGCCAGTCCTTGGGGATGGGCCGTGGAGTGCAATATACCCCCCCACTGCCTCTAGGGTAAGTCCCCACCCCTGTCCTCCACTGAGCATCTCAGCCTTGCTGGCTTGTGTTCAGAGAGGCTGGGTCTAGGCCTCTTCCTGAGCTGGACCCTGGGCAGGGGCAAGGCCAGGGCCACGGCCCAGCTTCAAGGAGACCAGGGCAGTACAATATGGCTCTCTCTTCCATGGCTTCACTGAAGAACTGTGCCACCATCCACTTCTAGCCACTGCATCATGCCTAACACTCATGGCAAGAGTTGGGGAGAAGAAGGGAGTTGAGTTGGTGATGGTCTCTACTGTGTCTCCTATCCCAGGCTCTTCCTGCTCTGTGCCCTTCTCACCCCCTTCCCTGTCCCCTGGGGGTCAACGTGGTAGAGACTTCGGTCCTGGTCACTGATGGGCCGTATGACCCAAAGGTGGTCCTTAACTTCTCGAGCTTTAATTCACTCATCTCCCTAATGGGTTCTAACCAGAAAGAGCAGATATCTGTGATGTATGGCAGTAGCCTGCTGGTACCGCCCCACCCCCTGCTGCTGAGTGAGTGTCCTCTGCCCTACCCTCCCACATTGCCCCTCTGCACCTCCATCCACTAGCTGAGAGAACCTGGAGGACAGAGCCATCCTCCACCATTCACTGAGCACCTACTATGTGCCACTCTGGGAGACACACCTGGGATCTCGCTTTGATTCTGCTGCTAAGTCCACCCAGGCAGTGGGGACAGAGACCCCATCTTGGTCCTCACTCCCACCTCAGCCCAGAGGAGGCCACCCGTCTCTCCTATCTGGGGGGGTGTCTCTGGGCCGGGTGAGGGGAATTTCCCAGGCAACTCTCTGTGCTTCTCCGGGGCTAGGAAAGCACTTCACAGTTTACAGAGCTCATCTGAGCACAGCCTTTCATCTGAGTGTCACCCCAGCCCTGGGCAGGAGCACCCTCCCCCACTCTGAGATGAGAAAGCTGAGGCTTAGAGAGGAGGGTCATCGTATCTGTCACCGGTTCCAGGAACTCCTGATTCAATAGCAATGGGGTCACTATGAGACTAATGTTCATTTGCCCCAGAAGACAGGGAGCTGCAGGAGGGCAAGGACTGGCGTGTCCCATTCATGCTGACCCCCGGGACAGGCGTCATCCTGGCACAGGGCGGGTGTTGGAAAGCGTTTGTTGAATGAATAAATGAAGGGCCTAGCCCTGGGCCAGGCACGAACAGGGCTTTCTGTCTGGGGCAGATAGAACCCATCCAGGCCACCCCACTCCGCTGCAGTCTCCCAGCTGTACCTTGCATGGGCGTCTGGGTCTGGCTGCTGAAGTGGCTGGTAGTGCTGAGTGAGCCTCGGGGGCTCGGAGTGCTTGGAGTCACCCGCATGCGCAGTCGCTCCAGGTCCCCGAAGCGGTCAGGGAATACCTTGGTCTGGTCCTCCAGCTTCTGCCGGTGCCCTGCAGGCAAGGAGGAGCCAGGGGGCCCATCAGGATTCTTTTGGCTTGCTAGTGTCTCAAGGCCTCGGGAGATAGGAGTGGGAAGCTCTATCTGAGGTTTAACCTTAGGTCTCTGTAGGGAGAACCCCTAGGTCACTCCTTGAATGGAATGGCCATCGCCCCCCATCTGGGGGCTGCCATGAGCTGACCACCCCATCTTCATCACTGTGCATGAGGGAAGATAGTTTTCCACATTCCAGAGCTGAGCCTCAGAGAGGGGGATCCAGGCCACAAAGCCAGTAGGGACTAGAGTCAGGATTTGAATTTGAGGTTCAAATCAGAGCCTGTGACCCAGACCTCTACAGCACACTGTTTGGCAGAAGGGGAAACTGAGGCAACAGGCATGGAAGAGTGGCTCAGACAGGCTGGGGGAAGGCAGAGAGAAGCCAGGAGTGCTGCCACCCACCACCTTCTAGCATCCCAGGCCACCCAGGATGCCTTTGAGAACAATGGGTGGCAGCCAGGGGCGGGCCCCCAGCCCTGAGGCCTGCACCATATCTCCTCTCCTTGGGTCTCAGATACGATGCTAGGAAGAGGCAGGGGGCCTTGGAATGAGGGGCTGGACTTCCCCATCTCTGACTAGAAGCTGGGGATGGAGGACCAGTGCACCTGGCTTGGGGTATCATACCTGGAGAAACTGCCAGCACCTTCCACTGCCCTCCCCCTCACTACGGCCCATGCAGGAAGGACCCCAGCCTTGTGTCCCAGGACCCAAAGGAGCCTGAGGGTCAAGGTGGCCAGGCACATGACCTTGTGTAGCCAGCCTAGGCTAAGAGAGCATTTCTTGGGTGACATCAGCCTCGCAGGATTCCTTACACACCTACCCATCACTTTTCCAATGACTCATTCTGTGTTTCACAAGCAACACACACAGGGTTACAAAAATAAAACCACTGTGGATAAGGCTAATAGCAGCCCCTGCCCAGAAGTTCCCACTGTGACTGGTTTGAAGACCTTTCTTTCCAGCCTCTCTGTGGTTTTATACATGCATTGACTTTCTTGAATAGTCTCAACCTGTATGTTTCTGTCACTTCAGTTTGCTTATCTGTAAAATGTCTGTTCACTTGGAGGGCAGCACATTCCTGGGCTCTACTGGTCAACCTCATTAATGCCTGGGCATCCAGCACCACCACAGTGCTGACCCAGCAGCCTCACCAGCCCCCAGGGAGACAGCCAGGCAGTCAGGGAGGTGGAGAACTGGGTTCTCAGAGAGGTGAGGAGACTTGCCCAAGGCCACACAGCCAGGAAATGGGCAGGAATTCCTGGACCTGGGCCCTGCAGAAAAGAAGGGTGGGGAAGGGGTACGGGGAAGACAAGGTTTGCCCAGGCCCTTGGGTCTGAGCGACAGACAGACTTTTCTAGAATGATAAAGATGGAAGGAGAGAGGAGTAAGCCAAAGTGCAACTCCTCATCATCCTTCCTTACCTGGACAAAGGATGTCATGGGGGACCAGAAAAGTACGAAATGGCTGCTAACCACCATTTGGGAATGAGAATGGTCTCAGAATGGGCCAGCTTTCTGATATTTTAAGTAGGATGCAACAATTCTGGTATCCGCAGACCTCTAAGCCCTGTATGTACTTCCACCTCAGCTGGGCATCTAAGAGCCCTCAGAGTGACAGAGTGGGGAGTCCTGGAGTCGTAGTGGGCTCAACAAGTCACCGAGAACCAGGAATTCCTACATTCTCCTCTGATGAAGCCCCAGGACAGGAACCCATGGGATGCTGGGTTGTGGGAACAGACCCACTTGGCCTCTATGGCTGCCTCCCAGGCAAGACCCTTGACAACAAAGGGGAAAACATGGGCTGGGAATGACTTAGGCTGGATGCCTATAGGAGTCAGGCAAGTCTGTAAATGGGATGAGTGGGTTGGGTGGGGACTATGCCAAAGTGGAGAGAGTGTCCCTTGTAGAAGGGGTGGGCGCCTCCCAGTGTCACTGACCAGTGCCCTGGGAGATGTGGGCCCAGTGCTGCCAGAGTGTCGTACTTCCCAGAGTGGCCACAGACCTGCTTTTACGTGCCATCTCCTCTATCTTATATGCTGGCAACTAATTCAAATACTGAGATACTTTAAAACACCACAGCCACTATAAGAGAGCACCTCTGAGTGAGAGATTTTGTTTTCTGGTTGGTTGTACCACTTTAGCCTCTGAGGAGTGGTTCATGGGTCCCCAGCAGAGGCTATTCTCTAGAGGATTGCCGCTGGGCTCAGTCCTTGGAACTGACACGCCTCAGAGGCTAAGCTGCTGCCTTTTTGTACCGAAAACGCAGGGACATGTGGACAAGCTCGGAATGAATGAATTCAGAACAATCTCCACAGGCAGGAAACTGCCAAGTGGACATGGAGACCTCCAAATGACTCGGCAGCAGCTTGGGTGTGAAAGATCTGGGGGGTCTTAATCAACCACAAGCTTGAAGTGAGCCAATGAGGCTACAGCAAAGCTGCCACAAAACCTCAGGCTTTGTTATTATCATCACTGGCAAAGAAAGTCCCATTTCTGAGTTACTCCTGGGGCCTGGTGGAAGATGTGGGGGCTGTACAGACAGCCTGGTCCTGGCACTCGCACAGCCTGGTGGTCTCACTCAAGTCACATACACTTTCTCCCATGCCAAGCTGCTGTGTCCCTAACATGCCACCTCATAGGTTGTCATGCTGGCTAAACAAGGTCTACCACCATGGGTTACCTTGACTATGACTGTCAATTCCACCCCTGCTCCTGTCCATGGGAGGCAGGATGAACATCCCCATATCAGAGATGAGGACTCTGAGGCCAGTGTGGTAAGTCCGTGCCTGGATCACAGAGGCAGGGCACAGTACCAGCATTCACACCCAGACCCACTGACTCTAAGTCCAGTGCTCTTTCACTGACACTATGTTCGTTCCCATTGTACAGATGGGGCAGATAAGGCTGCAAGACGAGAGCTAAGCTAAGCAGCAGGCCCAGAGTATGTATGACTCAGGTAATCCGACCCCGGAGCGCATGCGTCTGCCCTTGTGCTGTTCTGTCTTCCTGGGCAGACTTCCTGGAGGAGGGGAGTTTTAAAAACCCTTCAAGAATTGCTTCCTTCTTGCTGTGGGATGCTGGAGACACTGTGGGGGAGGGGCAAAGAGAAGCCAAGGTGGCTCCACGTGGCCGGGGCACCAGTAAGTCTCAGGGCCACAGGGCTGGGCCTTTACACTGGGAGCAGAACGGAACAAGAAGATGGGCCCCACAGAAAAGGCCTCTTTCACTCAGCTACCCATAGTGGAAGCTGGGTGGGGAGCTCTGGTCCTAGTACACTTGGTCACCTTGGGTCTGGCCCTCCTGTGCCCTGTGCCTCAGTTTCCCCTCTGCACAGTCTGCTCACTGAGGCTCCTGTAGGTCTGAAACTTTCTGGCTTAAAATTGCAGGGATCAGCTACTGGTCACACTGGGGCCCCAAACAGCAAAGAGGGCAAGCTGCTCTCTTCCCTAGTTGCTCCATGTCCCCTGCACATATATACTTTGCAGCCTTAGCTCAGGCACAACCCCAGTCAGAATAGTTTCCTGTAATTTTGGGGCTCAGCTCAATACCTCTCCTCCAGAAAGCCCCCTTCTCCCACCCTGAACCCCCAGGCACGTCTGCAGGCAGTACTGGCGGGTGTGGTAATAATCCAGACCGTGTCTGCCTGGTGTCTGAGCTCTTCCTCCACCCAGCATCTCAGTGCTTGCCATGCACAGCTTGTGTCACCCTGCAACAGCCCAAGAGGGAGGTGTATCACTGTCCCTATTTCACAGGTGAGCAAACTGAGGCTGAGAGAGGGCCAATGACGTGCTCAGGGTCACACAGATGGCACCTGGCCACCTTCTCTCCTCGAAGCCCATCCCCTAGGAAAGGAGTCTGGGTTTTAAAAATCAGAGGCTTCAGCCAATGTGGTGTTAGGACCCAGAGCTGTTTCTGCAGGGCCAGGAGGGTGGGAAGGGCACTGACAGTCTAGCTCTCAACTTAAGCCCCATGCTAACCCACCACACCCTTCTCCCCTCTGGGCCTGTTCCCCTGTCTGTAAAGTGGCTGCCATACCGCCCAACCTCTGAGGGTGAGGATAAGTTGTAGAACAGACAGCAAAGTGTCTGAGAGAAGAATATTTGGACAGAGGGATGGGGAGCCCCTGAGGAAGGCCCCAGCTTGGTCCATGGGCCTTGCTCCAGAAGCTGCACTCAAACCACAGACAGGCCCCCAACATCACCTCCTTGACAAGTCCCTGTAACCATCATCATGTGTGGGAGGGCAGATCCCAGCCTGCCTCCTCCTAGTCCCAGTGGCCCCCAGCAACTCTCCCTTATTTGCATGCTGAGTTATCTTGGGTAAGTTGTTCCCTCCCACACACTGGGCCTCAACTGTCTCCTTTGTAAAGTGGGGATCCCATTCTTTAACTCAAGAGTGAGGACCAGCTGTGAGAACTGAACATCTGGTTTAGCCCTGGGCCTCAAGACAGGAAGTGGATTTCAATGCTGGCTGGGCCATCTACTCACTGGACAGCTCCTCCCTTCCACATCTATCCCTTGGGGGTGACCAGCCTCACAGGAAGGGGATAAAGTTCAAAGTGGAGGAAGAAACACTGGGGCCCAAACAGGCTAGGGGACTCACCCAAAGTCACCCAGTGGGGTGCTAGAGGACAAGGGCTGGATCTCTGACTGGGGTATCCCTTCCTTCCATCCGCAGGGCATCCTTCATCACCACCAGCCAGGCCAGACTGGGTCCCAACTTCTGCCAGGTACCTGGTGTTTTGGGAAGAACTGAGGGGCCATCAAGGCCAACCCCCTGCCTCTGTACTGCATCAATATAAGCCCTGGTGATAAATGCAATCCCTTAGCAGGTACCTACAATGTGCCAGGCACTGTGTCAGGTGGGCTGTAAATATTGTCTCCACGATTTACAACCCTCTGTGCTACCATCACGCCTGTTTTACAGATGGGAAAGGGAAGATGTGACCAAGGTCACAT